TTTTCGGAGATTTTTGCCCCCACCATATTACGTCATTACGGTACATTTACACACATATCGTGATTAAATTCTAATCCTCTGTTTTTTTGTTTTGTCAGTTACGGAAACTCAACAGTTGGGCGATCTCCTTCCGGTAGATCTGTTTAATTAAGGATAACTGACCCCTATTTCGGCGTTAAAGACAGCGAAAACCGGAAAACTCTACGTGGCCAACCCGTCTTGGTCAGGCGCGAATCCACGGCCGAACTACCGGTGCTCGGAAAACGGTACACGGTCTATCGGGACGAGAAGAATAGAGGAATGGGTCACTCCTCAAATATCATTGAGAGATGACCCATTTGTAAATCATTAAGCTGAGTGAGTGTATGGAAATGACGAAGCTCTCGTGTGATATTTCTGAACTCCACCCTTAGTTACGAGTTTGGGTCTGGAAAATCTGGCTAGCTAATCTATTCAAAGAATAGGTTCATTCTCGAGAAAATTGTTAACAAGGATAGCGTGATTGATGTATAAAGCAAGGCGACAAGGGCCAAAAGATTTTCAATGGGAAATTGGCCCCTATTCGGATATTAGACACGTGAAGAAACTCCACCTGGACAGACTGTTAATCAAGTGAGAACCGGTTTATTACAGACGGGGCCGGAAAAGCCTTATGAAGAAACCAGATATCTTATCTCTGAATCGCGGAATGAATAATTCTGAAAAGTTGAGAAAAACTTGACATCTATTTAATACAATACCATTTCAGACCTGCACACCATCAACGGCGCCTTATCCTATGGCAAAAAAGGATAATTGCCTGGGGTCCCAAACCAATCTTTTAGAAGAAATATTTTCACAGAAAAATTCTTCCGAAGAAAAATATCTGGAGTCAGCACTGTACGTAAAACCCCCAATTCAATCGGGGATTCCGATGAATAGTGACTTCGCATAATTAATATACAGTACCTCCATTTAAAAACTTGGAGTTGAATCCGAGATGGTGGATTTCTAGATGGCTGAAGTGTAGTTGGCACGGCCAAACAGGTTCCCCTCTAATATAGAGGAAAAGGTGGTATTATGGAACACTACGGGTATTATGGAACCACCCCATTTCGAACTGTAGCGGATTGTGACTGAACTGAACTAGGCAGACATCCATACTTCAGTTAAACGGTTGTCCGTATTTAATCAGCAAATTTGTTTTTTTTTTTTTTTTTTCAAAATTCGCAAGTTTTGAATGCTAAGTGAATTGAATTATTTCTAAAATATAAATCGTGTAGTTGTAGGTTCACTGGTGCATGTATTCCGTTCCAGGGATTTAGGGGTACGTTTTTTAAAGTTTGGTTATGAAAGACATAAGTTAATTCAAGATGGTGATGCGTGAAATACGGACCCCATTGGTGCTTTTACAGTAATATGGAACTCGACTCCTCCGAACTCTCTCTTTGCGAGCAGACATTCGTCCGGAGCAATTAGTGAAAAAGACACTAGTAGAAAGTCAATTCTTCCCGAGAATATCGAAAAAGAGCTGCTGGAATATATATTTGTTGATGGAGGTCATATTTTTCTATTATAAAAGCATTTTTGCGATAAAATACATTGAAGTAAATAATTTTGTAATTATTTAACATTTTTTGTACTTTCTTATTTGTTTTTGGCTACATTAAAGCATTTTTTGAAAATGTACAGTAAGGTTCTATATTACCACCCGATTTTCTCTAAGCCTACTTTCTGACTTTTTGTACAAAAGCCTTCAAAAACCATACTTATAGGCTAATTACACTAGCGAAAAACCAATTAGGAACATTTAATTTAATATTCACCGGTACTTTTCGCACAAAAAATGCGGGTGTAGTTATGATACCTTGTTTACAATTCACTAAAATGTAATTGGGGTTCCATAATACCACCTTCTTCTATATCATATGTAAGGACATTAGATTGCTGTTTGCCAATCCTTTTTTGTTTTATATGGGTGTTTTTATATTTTTAGACCACTCTGTATAATAAATATAAGATAGAAATGATCGCAGAAGATCCGTACATCAGTCTTCAGAATCTTAAAAGTCTACCCGGAAAATTTTCGAGTCTTCTGGTAACTTCATTAATAAATTCTAAGTGCAAGACAAAATAAAATGCAAATTTCGATTTTACAAGTCGATAGAGTTCTCGTAAAAGCTAAATTTGCATATTGTTATGTCTTGTCTAAATTTTGCAAATCGATTGCTTTTTTTTTAATTTTAAATGCTTACCATCTTTTGGAGTTAGCGAACGTCCGTTCCTTTCGCTTCTCTTTCTTTTATTTCTGTATATAATGTACGAAATAATAGTGAAATAAGTCCACGAAGTCATCGTGTACGAAGTAGTGGCTACATTAGTAAACTTTTCGAAACAATAATAATATAATAAACCTGAAAAATAAATTAATAATTAAATATGATTATTCTTGTATTTCCTCTTATTAAATTGTAAAATTCAATTTTAATTTAATGTATTAATTTGTTTTATTAAATGTTAACATTTAAGTAGAAAAATATAACATTAAACCATTCGAAGTTAGATTATTACTCGTGTAAATCTGAGTATAGTTAAGAAATATATATAAGTGTTATATAGTCGAGTAACATTATTAAAATTCTTCGAGCGTGAGAAGTGTCTCATAAATATATATTAAAAATTCTTGTAGCTTATCGTCAATAATTTATAAACAGGTGAAATATTAACCTTTATAAAACAGTTTAGAAAATAGAAGAGTTAGAATTGAGAGTAAAGAGTTTCATTTCGTTTCTATTCTTTTCTTCAAAACGAGGTATTATATTTACTTAAAGTACTTATTAATTGATACTTACTTTAATAATAATAAATATTAACGTATAAGGTAAAGCTTTTCGCCCTACAATTTACTTCATACGTACAATACGGTACAACAACAATGTGGTTACATTAATTGAGGGACTGTAAGCTCAAAATGTATATTTTGGAGAGAAAAGAAATATAGAATATCAGTGTATCGACCTACGACGTGTGGTGTGATTGTCGTTTAAACATAACCACATTGTTATTGTACGTATAAAGTAAGTATTAACGTAATGCTTAACGTATTAATTTTATATTCATTTCAAACTCTCTCTTCTTTTGTTGGAAATGCATATTTTATATTGATACAGTACCTATTGTTTTTAATTGATAATAAGTAAGTGTGGGAGTCGTTCGCTGAAAAAAAAAAACGTTTTTCGTTTTAATTATTTATTAATGTTAAAATCATTTTACATTTAATAGCTAGTTTAGTGGAAAGTATTTAAGAGTATATCCGGTTACTATTAAGTATCCAAGCAATTATTAATTAAAGCAAAATTTTTAGTGAACATTTTATATTGTTCGTAACTCATATTACAATAAAAACTTCCTCAGAAAATCTTTTTATATAACATTTCAAATTGTTTAATATAATGACATCTCTTGTGTATAAGAGAAAGCGATTCCTTCACGTTTGAGCAGAGGATAAAATTTCTATATTTAGATGCGAAGTTGGAGAAAAATATAAATTTTGGATACGATTTGAATTTATACCGTTTACTGCTTAAATGTCTTCCATTTAAATAAACAGAAACATTAAACAAAGCGGCTACTACCTACCTAATGTTGTGTATCCATCAATTTTTATCACAACTCTACCTCACAATGTCGTCATTTCTGGTTTGAAACTTACGACGATCCTATTTTAAATTAAAAAATCAAATATGATTAATCAAAATATAATAATTCATAAATTAAATTTTTATTTTAAAATATTAAAAACACACGAGTATTATTTAAAAATGTAGATAATTTATTACGAGATTTGTATTTATACGAAAATAGTAAAATACAAACGAAATCATTGTAAAGAAAAGTATTAATTAATTAATCTTCTGTTGATATACGAGAAATGGTAATGTCGTCAATTCTTGTTTGGAGTCCTCTGATGATATCGTTTTAGGCGAATCCAATTGTCTAAAGACACCTTTTCCAGTAAATAACGCCTTTTTACTGTTCAGGCTAAATAAACGACTACTAAATTGTATTCGTTTTGTGTTCTTTTTTTAAAAAAAAATGTTCCTATTATGTAAATTAGGCCATAGTTTGTTATTTAAATTACTCAAACATGTCTTATGAGCTAAATTTGTTATTGAAAATAGTCTACGAAGTATAATAGAATCTTATATCATTCTTTTGAGGATATAAAATAAATCGAAGGTATTTTAGATCTTTTCAATAATAGCCAATTCGAACTACTTTAAATGCATCTTAAAGGTTAAAATAGTTTTTAAAATTCTGTGTGTTTAATTTATTTAAAACCGTTAAATTGTTTAAAAAACTATAGACTCGAAAAATAGGTTATTTTTATTCTTTCCAAACTGCTACTTGTTGTTGTCAGCAGCATTTTAACAAAGTAATCTCCAAGATTAATAATAAAGCTTTGTTGTGTAAAGAACTTGGATCCACTAAACCATTGTGTTAAATACTAACAATCTGTATTGTATTTTCATTAAATTTAAATAAATTAATTAAATTTATTCTAATACGAATAACACCGATGATAATGTTTAAGTAGATACTTTCGAATACGTACCGATAATTTAATGTTATTTAAATAAGTCAAGATTAATTTTATAACAATTAAAATTACAATTAAGAAAATAAACATAATTAATTTATGTCCACTATAACTTATATTAATAACAACAAGTTAATTATTATTATTATTATTATTATGCTCGGATATACTAACAATGTATAATCTATATATTTCTTATAGCAATAATCATTTTTTGTTTTTTCTATTTTCTTTTATCACGTCCAAGACTTCTACAGGACTGTATGTTCGTTTGTCTATCCGAAACCGATAATCGATAGTATTACTTCCTCTTCCTCGTATGTAAAGTAAGCATTTCGACGATAAACACGGAGCAACACTAGTCAGATTTAGATGATAAATATTTAGATTTATCATTTAGATGATAACATTTATCACATATTTGATATAAATATTTAATTCGCGTGACGACGTATCCATTAAATATAATTAGATCCATTAAAGAAGAGTTTAATCGAGGACGACGACGTAAAGAGAAATTTTGTAAGAGGTAAAAGTAATATAAATTACGAATACTTTTCTTCAATTTTATAATTTTTTTTTCTGCAGTTTTTAGGAAGATAAATCTTCTTCGAAGCAATAGAAGTCTGCCACAGTTTTTGAGTGGCACAATTTTCTGTTATTGTATCCTAAACATCTGACACCGACGTCGATGTCGAGTAAAGGTCGTTAGAGCCACTAATAAGCCACTAGAGAGACTACCAGCCACTCTACCAGATAGATAAGACTACTAACAACGAATTCTACGAGCTGCTTAAGAGTACTAACGAAATTAAATATAGTTTTTCTATTAGAACGAACGATAAATGCTTGGCATCACGGAAAAAAAAGAAAGTAATTTTAATTGCGAGTATCCGATAATCTCTCTTGATTAACTTATTTTAACTATTATTATACAGTACAAAATATGAATGTTAACTGCAGATTTAATTAATCATTTAAAAGAATGATTTTTATTTGATGGTAAACTTATGGGAGCTGGTTTAAATTGCCATAAATATGAAAATCATTTGTCTGTACAGTACAACGAATAATAGTGTTTAAATAGGGAGTGTCGATTTTCGTTAGATGGCGCTCGTTGTCGTACAAAAGGGACTTTTCGATTTGTTGGCATCAGTCGAGTCCGTATGATCCGTTCTACCTCCCTCTCCAGTTGGATGCTCTTCAATATTGAGGTAAGTCTTCTTCTATTAACACATTCCCTGCTAAGTATTATTAATTTTCTATTAATGAGAAAAATCATTTTTAAATCGGAGTTTAAAAAAATGCATTTATTTGTATTTCGTATCCTTTTTCTTCCGTAATATTTATTATAACGATAGTTTATTAATTAATTCTACAATTAATAAGTAAAATAAATTTTAAGCTTCGATTAATTTGAAGTTATCTAAATTTCTATAAAATTCTTATCTTTATTGCTTAATAATAATGCTTAATGGTTACGATTATTTTATTTATAAATTTATTGATTATCTTTCGAAATTTTTGTTATTTTATTAATAAAAATAATTAAATTTTAAAAACATCTCTAAAGAGAGACTCATTTGATCGATAATTTTACTAATTTCTCCATTAAATTTAGGCTCATCCTCATCATCATCGCCATTCAATTATAGAAAAACTGCAACGATGATGATGAAGACGAGTAATAAACAAGTTTCTTTCAGAAGTTATTTGTTTAAAATGAAAATTTTTCTACAAATTTTGTAGTAATTTTTAATTTTTAGAAGACTTTTTTTTTTGTGAATAAAACGGGTCTGTGGATTAATTATTTAAACGACGATCTATTTTAATTATATTTATTTAAAATTTTAATATCGGTAACGATTCTGGTAGCTCGATGATTTAACGATAAGTGGAACGTCTACAATTTAGAAGTAATGAGTTTGGACACGGAAGATTGATGAACAAGACAAATTTCGTGAACTTTCAGCCATAAATAATGAACTGTAAAGCTTTTTCCTTTTTTTCTGTTTCCTTGCGATAATGGACACATTCATTTGATATGCAATATTTATTATATAAACGTCGTGTTAGTAAGAGGATATTTTAATAGTTTCCATATAAATTTTCGAAATTTTAAGTATTCCGATTATCGATAATATACTTGAATATTATACAATAATCTTATATATTCGATCGTCAATCCATTAAATTGCATTAGAGATTGAATTTATAATCGAATATAATGTCTTTAAGGAATAGAGATTAAAAAAAATCAAACTTTTTTTTCCATTAAAATCAACTAAAAAATTTTAAAAAATAAATAAATAAATGGCGAATAAATTAAACTGTACTTAAAAACAAATTAACATTTTATCTCGGGATGAATATTTATTATATTTAATGCTTAAAAGCGTTTTTAATCCATTTACTTTTAGGTAATTATAATTTTATAAAGAATTTACTTTTTTAATGTAAACAAAAATTCCATTTTTCAATTAGTTTAAATAATAGAGGAGGGGAAAAAACGAAACGGTTATTAATCCTTAATTGTGTTCGATTTGTATGAGAAATCTTTCAGGAATTTTAACTTCTATTCCATACTTTAATGCGCCGTTAGACACATCGAAGAACGGAATTCATTCACCAGATAATATTAAATACTAAGATGGCCGAGGCGGTTAAGGCTCTATCCTACCGCTCAGAGGGACCGGGACCGAATTTCGTGCGAGAAATTTCAGCAATTTTTCATCAGCGTGATACGTCGGGTGTTGTTTCTCGTCCCCATTGTGTGCCTGCTCGAACTCGCGACCAGTATGATTATAAATGGTCCTTTCGATGCCCACAGAACGGAGAGTTAAAAATAAAACTTTTAAAATGTCGGAGAAATTTTTCTCTAGCATTCACTATGAATTGGACAGATTTCGATTTACAAAAAAATAAAGTACTGTATTTGACTTTTACAAAAGGAATATATACTACGGCGAAAAAAAATTCAATACCAGGAAAAGTGAGAATCGGCTATAGCCAATTAACGAATTATCAATCTGTGATTTTTACGATTTTCTAGAATAAAGAACACCATTCTTACAGTGGTCATATGTTGTAAGTGATTACAATAACATAGGTGTGTACACACACACTTACTGTAATCACTGCATAACTAGTGACATCAATTTTTGAGAATGTTGCAATGCACCAATTTTTCTCCAGGCGAACAATTTTTATATGTAATAGAGAGCATTTCTTCGTCTATTTTTATTTTGAATAATTGGAATAGGCTCCCGATTCGCCATTCTTTTATACCCAAAATGACACGGTAACGGTCGCCATTTTATTGCTGATGAATTCGTTCGTTTTTAAACTTGTTGAGATTTTCTTGCCTTTTCTAGTGATTCTTCCGTACTGCTAGTTGGTTAATAGACCAGTTTTTATAAATTATAAGTTTTTTTAAATTTTAAAATGCATAATATAGCCTATATAAAGGTAAATTGTTGGCTTTATACACACAGAAGCTGTTTATCTCCTCCCGAATAAAGCTAATTAAGAAAGTCTGAGCTAATTCTTTATTCTAACAAATTTTCCTAACGAATTTGGTTACGTGATTAGGAAAATATTTACGGAAAGTCAGAGACGAGGAGAGAATTACGTTCATCGATTGGTTCTATGTTGTAACCCGCAAACGAGGATTGCGTAGAGATTAGTTGTAAGAATTTCGTGCAATCACGATTTTCTTTTAAGTGGTATATCCGCCGTTAAGCTTTAGTAAATGATTGCGGCAATTGTATAAATAACAAACTAAAATAATTGCTTACTTAATATTATTTCCAACGGACCGTTGAACACAAATGCTACTATTGCTATTTTCCTCGTCTCTGGTCTTTCCGGTAGATTTCTTAATAGCGTGTCCGACGAGTACTTTCATAAGACAAAAATCACTTACAATGAAAAGCTTTTAGTGAAATTTATCATTATCTTATTTGCTTTGTATTTTTTTGATTTTCTTGTATCTAAGAAAACAAAAGGAAAAAACAACAATACGACTTCAATTATTGATTTTAAGAAATTCAACGAAAAATTTTTAAAAAATCCTATATGAGGGGCATTGGTGCTATTAAATTCGAGGGGGGTGAGGAGTTAAGTGTTTCGATCGATAACATTATAACTTAATTTTTTTTTTTTACATAAAATTTGAATATGGATTATTATTACCTAGCCACTAACTTAAAGTATCAACACACAAAATATTTTTTAAAAAAAAACATAAAAAATTTATTTTATTAACATTTTGTGAGAGTAAAAATGACTAAATCGTTTTAGAACTTTCCTGTTGATAAGAAATCGACAGAATCAGTACATTGTGGTGACAGAAAGATGTTAAAACCCTGTAGTAAGCCAGATTATTTAAATTTTGTTAACAAATTTAGATTTTTCATTAACTTACTAAATAAATAATCGAACAGTATTCGACGTGATAAACACGATAATAATTTGGTTCGGTGTCAAAACAATAGACTTAAAAGTTTATTAAAGGAAGAACGAGTGGAGACATTATACCGAATTTTGTTTAAAAAGTTAAAACATGGAAGTTTTAGTAAATAACAATAGCAAGATAGAAATATTGAAGAATTACCAATAATAAAATGAAAGCTTGCCCGTCTTGTGTTGTTGGTACGATAAATGGAAGGAATGTAGGACGAGTCCACAGAAAAGTTATCGGATGATTTTGATTCACGTCCTAAATTTTTCTAATAATAGCGAGGTTGCGGCCGAAGTTTTCGTCTGTAAAACGTGAACGTCGAGCGCCGCTTACAAGATAGCGGCGCTCGACGTTCGACGTTCACGCTTTACAGATGAAAACTTCGGCCGCAACCTCGCTAATTTTCGATCCGCCAAATCTTTTTAGCTCTATATTGAGCTTTGGCTAAAGAACCTTGAGATCTATCGGCTATATTTCTGGCTTCTTCTTTTGTGAGAGCTATATGCTCCTGTAAAAAGGAGACGATTAAATCAGAAGAAATGGCAAAAAATCGCACTTTATAACAACGAGAAGTAACTGTTTCAAGTAGTTTTTCTATCTGATCGGTTAATAAAATAAAATAGAAATAACTAATTTAGATTCATCATTAAATAAATTTTGTAATACAATTTGAATTATCAATAATTTTTTGGTGTAGTTAGAAGAAATGTCTCGAAATGCATCTAGCTAATTTTTAATTAGAATAAATTGAAAACTTTTATTAATTTATTGTTTTTCGTTTATCCGAGAAACAAACGTTTCCTCCCCGAACACTTCGTGTAATAAAAAAATCATAAAAATTTATAACCTCATTTTCTTTAAAAATTACGAGGTTTATTTGTTTTTATACTTATTGTTTCATAAAATGTAATTATGTGATTATTAACTTGATACAGACCATTGGTTAACGGTGCAATAGACCGGTGAAGAAGTAGTGTTATAAAAAACTTTTTACTAATATATAATTCTCGTTTCGTACTTAGTCATTGATTGGAATAATCAGTTAATAACTGTCTTTCTAAGTAAATTATCTTATTATATTTAATTTAAACCAAATTAATTAATGACTATGCATATTTTACAGATGATGTGATCTCGAAAATCTTCTTCTAAGAAAATAATAGATGATACCAGATGCGGAACAGGTTCTACATTATGTTATCTTCGTTCCGTTTTCCGTTTGGACAACTCTGGTCTTCGCCTTGGCCCTCCTCTGCCACATATTTCTAGGTAACAGTAACAAACCTTTGGTGTATCTTCCTACACTTTACTATAAAGAATCGAGCTTCTCTCAGTTTCTCCTGGAACAAATACCTCGTTTACGCACACCTTACTATCCGCCTCTATGGGCTTCCAATCCTCACGTACAGACGATCGTCAGCAGATATCTCCTACCATCCCGAGAAGTGTACTACGAACGTCAGAATCTGCAACTGAAGGACAAAGGTTTGGTATCGCTCGATTGGGCGGTGACGTGTGACGTAAACAGTAGATTAATAAGCTCGACGAAAGAATACAGCCGTCTGATCCTGCTTCTGCCAAACCTGACTGACGATGCTCTGTCCGTGGCAGAAATGAGTCAGAAAGCTCTATCGCGTGAATTCCGGCCAATTATATATAACCGTAGAGGACACGGGAATACCCCTCTGCTAACTCCGAAGCTGCAGACTTACGGGGATCCATCGGATTTGCGTCAAGCAATTAAATACGTGAAATCTCGATACCCTCACGCTCATCTGTCTCTAATAGGATACGGAACGGGTGCCGATTTATTATTAGCTTATCTAGGAGAGTACGGCAGCTCGGCTTACATGTCTGCCGCGGTGGCAATATCTCCCCTGTACGACCCGGAAAGTATTTACGAATCGGAAATGCCTCAACCGCACAAATTTATCCGCTTGTTAGCTCAACGTAACCTGGTAAATCGACATTCTTCGGCACTTTCGAAGGTGATAGACGTAGACACGGCCATTCACAGCAACACTGTGGCAGAATTCGAGAAACGAGTTTATTGGAAGATGTGTAGTTGCGAAAGCTGGGAACAATATTGGGAAAAGAATGCACCTTTGAGAGATGCGGACGAAATGTCGGTTCCTCTCTTATGCATAAGTAGTAAAGACGATCCTTTGGTACCGCGAGAAGCCATACCTTACGACGTCTTTCATGTTTATCCTCAATTAGTTCTAGTGGAAACTCGATGCGGAGGTCATTGTTGTTTCCTACAATCGGGTACGTTCGTTCCCGATTCGTGGGCAAATTCCTTAGCTTTGGATTTTTTAAAAGTGACTCTAGAATTTTCCTCGAACGAAAAAAGAATGACGAAATCCGCATCCAATCTGTGACTAATAGATTTCGTTTAAGCATATTATTTAATCTGACATTTCCTTTATTTTTATAGTAAATATTTAAAAACTTGGCTCGCTATCTCCTCGAATTTTACCAAACTTTCATTATTTGTGATCGATGTGACCAACAACAAAATAATGTGTATAAAAGTTAAAAATCAATAAAGTCATACGGTCAATGTTATCTGTGGAGATATTCAAACAATCAATTTTCTCGATTCCATGACGAATTGTATCATATTGTAATTTTACTGTGATATTGTTAGTATTTAAAAATATTTTAAAATGTTTTAACAATATTTGTGAATTAAAAGTTGTATTTTTCTTGAAGATTTGCTTGTGTTTTTTTTTTAAAATGAGAAGTTGCTGCCGAAGTTTTCATCTTTAAAACGTGAACGTCGAACGTCGAGCGCCTATCTTGTAAGCGGCGCTCGACGTTCGACGTTCACGTTTTACAGATGAAAACTTCGGCAGCAACCTCTCTAATATAACATGGGATATTCTAAATTGAATATTCTTACGTACATAAAACGTACATTTAAAAAAATTTGATGAATTTGTAGCCTGTAAAATTTCATCACAAACAGGAAATGACTACAAAATGATGTATTTACGTGAATATAAACTATAGAAAATCGACTTATACAATCAACTTTGCACATTATTTCTATTATTTATTTGTAAAAGATTAAAATTCTTAGAAAAGATTAAAAAATTCCGAAAAGAATGATGCTTTCAACCGCTTGTTAAGATGCAAATGACCGCGGATCGTCGTTGGCAAGTCGAATAAAGATAATCAAGAATGTATAGATGTCGTTAATAATATACTCTTTAGTAATTATAAATTAATCAACTATTACTTTCCAATTAAAATCTGTTCTATTAATAATATAAATTTGCAAACGTAAAGATAGAAAAACATTTTTAAAGTTTTACATAATTCAATGACGTATCGCTATATGAGGCAAACAAATTGAAATAAATCATAACAAAGAGCGATTTATTATGAATATTTTTCTTTAAAAATTATAAGTAAAATAATATAAATAAATTTAGAAATTATTTATAAACTGTCAAAACATTAGGAGGAAAAAAAAGGGGAAGAAGAGCGATAAAAGCGAACGAAAGAAGTCGCCATCAAAAATAATTAACGTAACTGGAAAAGCAATTTTATCCATCCGGGGGATCATAAAAGACAAATAAGCGAAGATGAGAAAATAACGAATGGCGTTGACAAGAGATAAGAATGACAAATCCACAGAAAAACAAGGTCTAATTCATTTACCAAAATGCCAAACAAGTTACTAAAGTTAAGCATTTCTCTTCCAACGTTCCAAAATATATTATAAAAATTTCTACCACCGAATTTAAGTTCGAGTGATTAATAAAAAAAAAAAAAACAATTTTAAAAATGTTTTTATTTAATTTATCGACGAGAAAATCATTAAACTGGGATGTCGCTCTTTAAAATTTACGAGGAAGACCTCACTAATATATAAACAATTAATTAAACACAGTGACGAAATTACAAATAAAATAAAATGGAATGTAATACGTAACAATAAATCATATTTTCATTTTGATTTTCTAAACATTTCAGAATCAATCGATACAATCGAAACAAATAACGAGTATTAATCAGTTCTGTTAAATAAGCCTTCCTCTCGAGTTTATTATGATTCAGCTACAAAATAAAACAATTCAATTCAATTTTATGAAGTATTTCGTCTATGATTCATTAAATTTATTTATATATTTATGAAAAACAGTTACTATACGTTGAAATTTAACCGTTTCACAGTGATTTATAAACATTTACTTTGTAATATCCAATGGTATTTATCAATCTAAATCATAAATATTTGAATATTTTAAGTTATACTGTATATCGAGCCATTCAAAATACTTTGTAAACTACTCTATCCCGTGCGATAATTATTTAGAATAAAACCGGTCCAATTTATTTACTTAAAAACAGATTTAAGTCTATGTATAATTTGTCTATTGATATTTTAAAAGACAGCATAGAAGTAATATTAATGTATCGATTATTATCTTTCACTCGTAATCGATCGACCGGTCGAGTTTCCAAATGTCACGTCTCCTTTTAATCCGTAGTAGGACCACTCACCTAATTTTCCCCAAAAAGATAATTTTAATTGTTATAAAATGGCAAAACCCTTAATTTTAAAGGTAGGGACGAGTTTTATAAAAAAATTTAAATGCTAATAACCAGTAAAATCGTCATTAAGTCCGACCCTATTAGAGATACACACGATCCCTATTATCTCCCCATCTAATCGACCTTTAACCTTCAAAATTTAATAGAATCGATCTACCTAATAAAAAAGTCTCTCTGCAAAATTTCAGAGATTTTCTATAAAAAACACGGGAGTTATTAAGCTTCAAAGAGGGTGAAGAAAATCGTGCCCCCCTCACACACACTAACATTCATACAAACAGAAATTACCCCCGAATTTATTCTCCGTAATCCTGGCATAAACATAAAATAGCGAATATTTACAAAGAAAAAGGGGATTTTATCATCTGGCATAGGACAAGAGACGGAAGATTCTAAAGACTATGGTTAAGTATCTAGAAACACTCCGAAAATAATAAAGTTAAGACCGATACGAAATTCTCCGAATAAGTTAAGGGATTTCATACCGTAAATAAAAAGCAAAATAGTAAAATGATAAACTTTGTCGGGGAGGGAAATTTCCGAAATTTATAAACATCTGATACATATTTATTGTAAAATGTTTTTCAATTCTCTATTGTTCTGTACAAATACGAAACGTGATCTTCTTGTTTTAAAAATAACGTAGTGTTTGGAAGAAAAAGATGATGATAAAATCTAGAAATTCGATCGTAAATCTGTATATAATTTGTATATATTTACGTACAGTACAATATATTACTCATTCCAAACCCAACATAATATATTACGGTAATAAAAAATATTTAATCAAATTTCTCTCTTTGATTTCTTTAATAAATTTAAAGAATTTAATCGTCAAAATTTTAAATTAATAAATTTCTTAATGAAATATATAAAATAATCCAATTTTTATTACGGAAATAAAAAGAGAATAAAACTAATCTATGATTTATTTGACGAAAGAAAACAAAAATTTAATCTAATATTAAAGTCTGGTTTACTTAACTTTATGGAAGATATTGTTTTATGAGGATCTAGTTCCCCCCGAAAAGGATATTTTCGATATAGACGAATTGCGGGATAAAGGAATTTTTACCAGAAAATTTAGATATTTCTTCGTTATACAGCGTAATATTTGTATAATGCATTTATGGGGGATTTCCAATTGTTTCAAATAGGGAGAAAATCGTATTTAATTAATACATGTAACGTCCAGCGGACAAGAAAGACAATAATTAATTAAATTATCTACTTTTTTTTATTTATTTATTTTCCAACAATGTATTATTTTAAGAGTTACATAATCTTTTAAAATAATTCCATTCTTCATTTCGTTCTCATGGCAGTATTTAATCCACGTGTAATCTGCGACGGGAATAACAAACTAATTATGTTGTGTGTTGTTCGGAGTCATGGTTAACGAAGGCGTAGATTAATTCTTATTACCGTGTTGGAACATCGAACGGTCTCGAGATACGAACATCTACATCAATCGTCAGCGTTATGATATTTAAACAAAATGATTTATTTTTGGTATTAATTTTAACACGACTTTGTCATATATTATTATTGTAAGAGTCTTAACTAATTAATAAATTCTAATGATTTTCACGGTAAACTTAACATAATTGGAATTTCAGGAAGAATGGGAATTGCGTGGACCTTATCAGTACAGTACTTGATACCATTTGACTAGTTATAACCAATCTGAATGAATATTTTCCAGTAAATACTTGGAAAATATTATACTACTTTTATATATCCAGAGCTGTAGATGAATAAATGCAGCGTTATAGCCCATAATGTCGTTATTCGTAAATTAAAAAAATATTCATTTTAATATGTAATAAATTTATAGAAGCGTACGCTTTGCCGTCGTGATATTTGTCCCGGCTTAAATTTAATTATGAAATTTATTTTTGTTGAGATAAGAACTTTTCTTCGCCGTACAACAATACTCTATTATTGAATTTAATTAGTGTCTTCTTCTTTCGTTAAATATACTTGACCGGATCGTTCGTATAATTATTTAGATAAACAATAGTGCTTAACAATAGAGGAATACAAAATGGTATTTCTTTAATTAATTTTCTTTTAATTATTCTGTTCAACGATACTGTCGCCAGTAAAAATAAATTCTTTTTAATCACTTTAAAGTTTAGTAAATAATTATTTTAGGAAAAGAAATATTTTATAACTATATTATTTCCTTACCAAATTCTTCGTCCAACACATTGCAAAATAAAATTTTCATTACTTATAACCGTTCGCATTCATTTCCTTTATTTGTATTTAAAGTAAACTTACAATAAAGTCTAATTATTTACGATTCAAAGAAATGATTTCGTTCTTCTTTCTCCCCCAAAATTTACGGTTTAAACGTATAAAAAACGACATCATTATCTCTAAACTTCGTTCAAATACCATACATTGTTGAATATGATTTCTCCACGGGATCCGTTAATGATATATTAAACGAGAGGATACCACTATTAATTCCTACGTAAATGCGACGAAGATGATGTAGCTTATAAGGAATTGTTATAAATCATATCTTACCAATTATTTCTGGCAATAGAAATAGTCTTATAATTAAAATAACATTGCTTGCATTAGAATTATGGTGTAGAATGGTTAAAGATTAACCTCAAAATTCTTATACGTTCATTTCCTTCAAATCTATCGAAGTTATCTTCGTAGAAGTTAATTTAATATACTTAACTATAATCTATATGTAAACAAAGCAAATTAAAACAAAGTTATCGAGTTGAAGTTTCCTTTAAATTGTTTTTTAGGTGAGGAGTGCCTGTATTATAAAATGTTCAAACGGGTTTTTGATGATCCATTTGAATAATATGAGAATCCTCGATAGAAATACTCGTACTCATTCAGTAATTTATCCTCGCCTTTTCGTTTATCTACTGTTTATTTACTGTTGCATTGCTTCTGAAATCGGTAGCTAATAATATCTATTATTATAATGAATGATATTCTCGGCTATCAATGTAGAAGGACTGTACTGTGTTTGCCATTTTGTATGCTTTTACTTGTGTTATATATATATATTTTACACTCTTGTAAAATATTTTTTTGTCG